CTCACAATTTCTTCTCCATTCTTCCAGCGCATTTAAGTTTAATTATTCATTTATTTGAGCTAAATAATAATCTTTTAAATACTTCCCAAATTTGTGTGTTAATCACAGTGTCTTAATCAGCCTTGTATCCCCACATATCCTCCGGCGCCGTGGGTTTTTGGTTTAGGCTGTCAGTGGAGTTTCCTGAGCACTTAGAGTTTAAAACGCTTCCTGTCTGGAGAGGAAGCGGTCTGCCAGGGAAATGAGTGCTTTGGTGCTTTGTGTAGCTGTGTATCAGACCTGCACTAAGTTCAGGAGGAGTTTGGGGCCATTTTTAATTACAGAACAGCTTCAGTTTATCTCTCTTTTTAGGGTGTCTGGTGTAAGAAACTCATTCAGTCATTATTCTGGCATTTCTTTGTACCCCAGCTTTCTGCCTTGTTATCTAGCATCTATAAGTGTATAAGTATGAATATGTAAAATATCAGATGCATTTTTGTCAACCCTTTGCTGCTTACAGAAATCAGCAATTACTGACCAAAGGTCTTTTAATGTCTCTATTTTTGAGGTATTTTGTTATCATCAGATGCTTAATTTTTGTAAGTCAGAAGAGTCCTATAACCACCCCGAAGCTGAATCAACATGATATCTCTGGAAGAGGGAAAAGGTGTAATAAAAAAGCTTCAAGCCAGTGCAATAAAGACAGCTAATAAAAATGGATTAAATGCGACGTGATGTTCTATCTCTGATCTAACTTTATCTGGTTGTTATTATTTGCTGTCAGAAACAATAAATCAAGTCAAGTCCCTTCAAAGGAGGGTCTTCAAAATGTAATTGATTTCCCGACAAGTCGTTGATGAATTCTGGTTGTGTGATCGGCAGCTCTTGGCTTTATCAGAGAGCTGCACTTCGGCTGTTGTTGCTCCTCTTCTGAGTAGCCAGCAGCGATACAGAGCCATACTCTATGCAAGAATTAATGAAACCTTATCTCTGTGCTTTACAATATTAATTTTCAGTTCATTCACCCAGGCTGTCTTCCTCTACGTTGGCACTTATCAAACCTCTCTTTAACCTCTAGGCACTTAACACAGCTGCTTAGACAGTTTGTTTGTTCTTTTTATTACTCAGAGTCTTCCTGATTCACAGGACAGGAACAGAGCTTGGGGCAATTTCTTGTATCCTGCGGATATTTTTAAAATTCCTTTTCTCTGTGTAGCACTTTATTCTGCAAACAGACACTTGGTATGTTTACTTTTTAAATTAGGGCACCTATTCAGCTTGTAATGCCACTTACTGCCCCCTAATGCACCCGGAAATAAGGTAAAATTAACTGCAGAGATTAAAATACATAAAAATAAACAAATGTTTCCATGTTTCTACTCAACACTCTAGTTTTCTGCTTTAACCACATTCTTGCAAAAACTTAAGAAAGCCTTAAATGCACCTCTGCACCCTCTTCATTCATGTGCGTTTCAGACTTACACAGTGTTCTCCATCTTTCACTCTTTTAATTTTCATCTATCTGCTTGAGATAACAAAAACTGACTCTCTGTTCCTTTTCTTTCTTACACCTCAGGTCCTTCATAGCAGCTCTTTAACTCTTTATCTTTGACTGTTTCATCAAGGCCAAAATCCACACCGATTAGCAGAATGTTGTTTTAGTTTGGTGTGGAGCACCTTACATAAGTGTCACATGGTCTGCTTTTCTAAGCCCACATCTAGTTGGATGAAAACACTGGTATGACAGCAGTGCGGCTCTTTTCAATAATGTAGGAGGAATATTGTCTCTCTCCCTCTCTGACACTGAAGTGGTGTTTATTTTCTGAAATAAAATTCAAAGGTTTGGGGGCTTTATAAGGTTCAAGAGAGTGTAGGAGTGAAGGCAAAGAGAGACAGGAACACTTGGAAGTGGGATTATAAACTAGAGTCATATTTGTGCATTGGTAAAATTATAACGATAAGCTTACGTCAAGCATGACATCTTTAAAACCTGAAGGTTTTGTGCTTTTGAATGTGTGAAAAGATACTTTCTGCACTTATAATATCTAAAATATCTGAGCCTGGCACAATGTATTTATTCCATTTACCCTCATTATTACAGCCAAACTGACAGGGACTGTAATTAACATTGTAGGTGTCTGTATGCGTTTGTGTGTCTCCCTGTGTATAGCAGCTGATGTGCCCACAAGCACACAAATAGACATCAACAGAGCTTCATAAAGGCTCAGATGCACAAAGCAAACTATCAGAACAAAGCAGAATGCACACTGTGGTGCAGGACCATTCATAAGCATCACAAAGCAACCAGGTGAGCACAACAACCAGGACGCATGAGTGAGTCAGGTTACTGTTCAATGAAAGGTTCCTTTCCCAATATAAACTCTGAGTAGACAACAGCTTTCATTGGCTGACACACATACTTTTAGCTCTAATAATGGAAAAATATGATTTTAATTTATATTTTTTACATTCTTCTGCAGTCTCTCTGTGTCGCACAGTGAGTCACACCGTAGTCATTTAATTGTCTGCATTTCTTTTCTGCCTCTGGCGACTCCACGCAGCTGTTTCATGTTTACATTTGTCAGGTACTTAAAGTATCATTTGTCTTTTCGCAGCTCTTTATGAGCTTTAATAAACGTCTCAGTGAACTGATGGATTCAGGTTGCTAACCTGCATCGGACAAGGCCAAGTGCACCCTTATTGAATTAAGTCACTTGTAGAACCACCTTAAGCAATTATAACTTGAAATTATTTTTTTCTGTATGACTATCAGTCTTTCACATTGTTGAGAAGGAATGTTTTCCCACTTTTCTTTACAATGCTGCTTCAGTTTGGGTTTGTTTATGCAGAGGTCTCCTAAGGTCCAGGTTTAGATTATATCTTGATTATTTTCTTTTTCAGCCATTCTGCTGTAGATTTGCTGCTGGATCAGTGTCCTGTTGCATCTCCAACACAGGAAACGCTTTACATATTTAAAACATTTCACTCTAGAATACTTTGGTATACAAGGGAGTTTATGGTCAACGCCAAGTCCTGTGGCTACAAAAAACAAAACAAAAAAAAAACACATCACAGTGCACAGAGCTTCAATAATCACTTACCTGCTTGCTACTTTGGATAAAGTCTTAAAACTAAATTGTTTCATAATTAATGCAGCTTTAAGTAAACACCAACTGACTGCTCTTTCTCGTGCTTTGTACGTGCCCCATGCAGTGAGCCCACCCACTCAAAGTGGGATGACAGCAGGCACAATGGTGTTACTGAACCAGGTTTTAATGACTAAATTCCTCCTTATTTTTCAGGTCTGTCCTTCTACAGTCGTGTAGCAGAGAACTGTGAGGAGGTGGCACACTTTAATGAGGTCAGTATCTTTATTTGATTTGTCATACAATAACCTGTGTCAATGGTGACCAATCAGCAATTGTTAAGAATCCAGAATTGGCTGATTTCACTGGCTGCAGGTTCTGTTATTGAATTGAGGTGGAAAAGGTGAAAAAAGACACATTGCTGGTAATCACTGAAATGATCACTGTAAGATTTTACATTTACAGGAATAAGGCTCTGTGTTGTTTATTAGTCATTTGATTTTAATATCTTTAAAAACAGTTTTATCCAAAATATTGACAGCTGTTTAATAAAATCTTTATTTAATTCAAATAAATTCTGGCACATTTTAAGGATGCTAGCCTTTACTTGAATTAAGTGATTCAGCTGAGTTATTCTCACTGTATTCAGTACAAGTGTACAAGCCTGCTGTGTTCGTGAGTAAGAACTTTATCCCCCAAAAGATGCCAAATGAATGTCGGGTGACATAGATAGAAATTTTGCCCTTTTTTGTACTTTGAAAATCCTGGTGTAGAGAAAAGATGGACAAAGTGCTTGACTCTATACCAGCATACAGAGTGCAAATAAAAGGTGAATACAAAGTGAAGCAATGTACATGCACAGCGTGTAAGAAACTGCTCTAAAAATAGAGGATCTATTGTTCAGTAATACCACTTCCTTTAAGAATGCAGTTGAATACTGTAAATGGAGATGCCTCAGAGGAAAACTGTTAGCAATACAAATGTACATCAAAAAGTACAGTTATAAGAAAGAAATGAAGGCCAAGGGATCAAGAGCGA